AGAACTGCCCGGTAAACCGTAGGCAGAGAGAGAGAAGAGGACAACAAACGAGGGGCTATATATACAGCGCGTATCATCGCGCGAGCTTTGAATCCGGAAAAGAAGAAGAAAAAGAAAGAGGTGGTGGTGGCGATGATCATAGGAAGTAATCAATCTCCGGATTGAGAGGGGGAGGAAGAGGAGGGAGGAACGCCGCGAGCGCGGCCAAGTTGGCTGGCAATTCCACTTCATTGAAGTGGTAACGGACAAAGGAGGGGTAAAGGAAAGCTCCCGGCACATGCGAGAGGACCCGTGGCGCGAGACCGACGATCGCCCGAATGATTCGTCGTCGCAGCGGCCGATTTCTCGGACCCGTCAGCACCAGATGGGTCTCCGTGTACGGCTTCCGCTCCCGCTTAACCACCGCGAAGACCAGGATATGGTACATAATGTTGGGCCGGCCGCCGGTCTCGTAGATGAGCGTGCCCGCCAACCTCGCCGCTATACATCCTTCGAATGGAGGCTGCAAGAACGCCTCCCATGCCGGATCAGGGCGCGGCGCCCCCTCGATGGCCTCAAGCCGGATGGTGGCCAGTTCCACCATGTGATCCACGCCGGTTTGATGGACCGTCCGGCTCGGGGGAACTGCTAATATCAATGACCGGGGTATCTCGCGCGGGCTGGCGAAATCGGAACGGTCCTGCAAGGAGGGGGGGTCTGGATGCAGGATATGGAACTCGTCCCAATCCCCCCCCTCCGCCTGATGGCCCACCTGCATGGCTATTGAGATCGGGGGTGCGGGGCCGCTGAGGTGTCGACTCCCGATGGCGTGTGGATCTCCGCGGTTCTTCAGCGGGGCAGTCCTCCCCCAGTCGGGGCCCGATGATGAGGGTGGCTCTTCTCTCCCGAACCGGATCGACTCTGCGCACCGGCGCAGGCTGGACAACCTCCTCGACAGGCCCCACCCGACTGGCCTGAGCTTCCGGCGATGGACTTCGTCGCCGCTTCGGGACGGTTCTCTTTTTCAGTGCCTTCAGGGCCGCCGGCTTTGGATACGATGATGGAGGCCGCAGCGGCTTGTCTTCGTGCCCGAAGTCCACCACGGACTCCCCCTCACGCGCCAAGTAGTCAGGTATCACCGCCGCGTTATATGCTCTGCACGGGGCTGAGGCGGTCCGCAGTCTTAGCTGCAAGTCTTCTTCTTCTGCGGCGATAACCTGCGCAATGGACAACAGCTCGATGTGAATGAGCTGTAAGAGCCCCGGGCGATTCGTTCTGATCCTCCCGAAAGGGTAAAGCGCCACCATTCCCTCCTTCCGCTCCGGCTTCGGCTTGGCGATTATGTAGTATACGTAGAGGAACTCGCCGACGTTATGAACTTCATGCTCCACGAAGAATGTAAACATGCCCAGCACCACCGACAAATACAGCGCCCGATGCAGCTCCCACGCGTCCTCGTCAGCGGGCGGCAACTGCTCAACATCCGTCAGCTCCACCAGGTACTCGGGGAAGTTGCGCATAGGATAGGGGAGCTGTGTCAGTTGGTAAGGGAGGGTAGTGTAAGAGAAGAAGGGAGGCATTTAGAGAGAAGGGGGAGGGACAGCTTGAATGTTGAGGGGCTCGGCGGGAGGAAGGAGCGAGGGAAGCTGCGGCACCAATGCAAGTGCTTCCTCCGGAGTCCGCCGCAGAAGTCCTTCGTATGTGGTGAAGCGATGGGTGCCCCTCGCCTGCACCCGCGCCACCGATCTAGCCACCTGGAGGGCGTAGTCGTGCAAGAACCTGTACGTCGGCTCCTGATCGTGCCCGGGCAAGACGGTTAAATCCCCGGTGAAAGTAGCGATGCTGTGCACAAAGTTCGTAGCCACCTGGATGGCTCGGAACTCGATGAACACTCGCGTGGATTCCTGACCAGGCACGGGCGATATGTCCACATAGACCCCTGCGTACGTCATAAGCTGCGCGAGGAGCGAGTACACCGCCAAGTCAGCAACGCTGGGTGCCGACACGTTCACTTGCTGAATGTCGAAGCGCAGCTGCCGATCRTCGTTGAACCGGTTCCGGAGAAGAGCGTCCGAGATGGGCGGCTGGAAGTGCTCGAGCAGTTCATGCTCCTGTTGGCGATTGTTCATCCTGCGAGGCAAGGTCTTCCGCGGATGCCGACGACGCCGGTCGGAGAGAAGGGGAAGAAGGAGGCGAGGACGAAGGAGCACTAGAGAGGGACGAAGAAGATGATTCGGGCAGGACAGGTGGCCGCACAAGATCCAGCGATGGCCGAAAAGGCCGGAGAGCAGCAGCGTGCCTTGTCAACAGGCGGCCTTGCGAGTTGTGCCTGGGAAATAGCTTCACGGAGTGCTGGCCTCGTGCGCCAACTTCCGTCACCTCGTAAATGCCTGTGTAGGGCGGGTGGATCTTGGAGGAGCGCGCGGATTTCCGTACCTGCACCAAGTCCCCAATTTTACAGCAAGGCAGTGGTCCCGCGGACGCATGTCGGTTCTCATAGTCGCGGATCTGCCGTTGATGCGTCCGATCTATGGCCCGCTGCCGCCAGCGAGCTAACGGGGGATAGGCCCTAGCCATTAAGTCCATATAGTGGCGGGCCTTATCTCTGTGCTGGGCCCGTGTTGCTCTAACTTCCGTACCTACCAAGGGGGATAATTGCACCCGAGGGACACTATTGGTTCTCAGTTGGAAGGGCGACACCCCTGTACTACCGTGTGGGGTAGCCCGATAGACGGCCAAGATGTGGTCGACAATGACAGGCCAGGGCCGGATGTGTCCCGCAGTGATATTCCGTCTAAGAGCGGTCTTAATCAGTCGGTTGGCATTCTCTACCAGACCATTGGCTTACGGCCAATGCCCCGGCGAGTAGATAATCCTGACGTCCGCCCTGACTAGGTGACGTTCTACTTCGCCTTGAAATTCCGACCCATTGTCCATGTGTATCTCTTCTACGTCTAGATGCATGCACAAAAATCGGTTTACGTACCAGGCTACCTCCTGCGAATTCCGGCTGGTCATAGGGTACGCCTCGATCCATTTCGAAAAATGATCGACGACCACTAAAAGAACATTGAGCTCTCCCTAATCGACGGGACCTCTCGGAACGTTGATATTTGTCGTGTCGATGCTAACCCTCTGAAAAGGGCGCTCTACAAGAGTAGGCACCATCGTCCAAGGCATCTGTACCGACGCCTTGTCCGCCGCGCAGGCCGGGCAATCCTGGACGATGTATTTCACATCTTCCCGAATTCCCGACCAGTACCATCCATGCTTTTCGATGGGTTTTTCCGTGTACTTGACCGCGAAATGGACCGCATCCTCTTCATGGGCGGCTCGTGTCCAATCGAACCTAGCGAGAGGGTGTGGAACTGTCAACCAGCTAGACCCTCCACCATCATCGACTTTTCGTTTTTGTAAGGTCGGTCCCTGCCACCGATAGTCCTGCGCCCGCTCTGTGACTCTCTGCCGCTCGGCTTTGGTAAGTTCGGACAGCGAGTCGCCTGACAGCCTCCGTAGCAACAGAAGGTCCGTCCAGACTTCTGCCCAGCAGGCACTTGGCGCGAATCCGTCGGCTGTCCGTGCGTCCAGATACCGTTTCTCGGTATGGACTTGGTCCGTTCTGCAATTGGGACAGACCCACATCTTTTCACTTCGGTACCTAACGCATTGTCCGTGGGATTTGACCGCTTGAAACTGACTACACTGCACTTACAAAAGAAAACTGGGCCCTCCCGGATGTGACCCTTCTTGGTCCGGGACCATAGGCAAGGTACAAAAGAAACAGGGACTTAGATGCAGTTCAGGGGACGAGTAGGGACTAGACGAGAGAGCGAGGGAGTTGGATGAGGGCAAAGAGATAGCGTCTGCCATCTCCGGTGAAACCTCCATTCCGGACTCAGGCGTCGTCCTTGCGCAGCACGTGTAGCTCCCCGTAGCGCGGTTTCGTCGTCGCGGCTTCTGGCCTCCACGGAATGAGTCGCTCGTTGGCGGGACACTCGTTGGGCGGCAGGAGGCGCGTCAATCCATCGGCGTTGCCATGCTGCCGCGTGGCACGGTGACAGATGTCGAAGTCATAGTCCTGTAGACGCACCGCCCACCTTCCCAGCATCCCCATGTCGTCCGTGTTGTTGCGTAGGGACAGCAGCGGCTGATGATCCGTTACCAGCACGAATTTCTGGCCGTAAAGATACGGTCGAAAATGCTGAATCCCCCACACCACCGCCAGGCATTCGCCTTTGCACGCTTCGTAATTAGCTTGCGCATGGCTCAGCGTCTTGGACACATTCTCAATGACGTGTTCCCTTCCGTCCGCCCCGTGCTGAGTCAGCACCGCCGATATCGCCTGTGGCTGCCAATCGGTGTACAGTGCGAACGGTCTTGTCGGGTCGGGACGCGTCAACACAGGAGCAGATGTCAAAGCCTCCTTCAACGCTTGAAACGCCGCTTCGCATTCCGGCGTCCAGATCAGCTGCTCCTCTTTCTTCAGCAGGTTCGTTAGGGGCTTCGCTACACGGGCGAACCCCTTGATGAAGCGTCGGTAATAGGATGCCAGCCCTAGAAAAACCCGAACCTGGGTGAGTGTGACTGGCGCCGGGGTTTCTTGAACTGCTGCCACCTTCCTCAGATCCGGTTTTAGTCCATCGACCGTGACGATGTACCTTAAGAATGAGATCTCCGACAAGAAGAACTCTCTTTTCTCCAAGGCCACTTTGAACCCCGCATCTTTTAGTGCATGCAAAACCCACTCAATGTGCTCCCGGTGGTACTCGTGTGTTTTTGAAAAGACCAAAATATCGTCCATGTACACAATCACGCAGAAATTGATCAGGGGCTGGGTTAGTCGGGTTTTGTTAACGAACTCAGCGAAGGCCATATTCATGGCCCGCTGAAACGTAGTAGAGGCGTTACAAATTCCCATGGGACACCGGACCCATTACCACGTGCCCTCAAATAGGACAAAAGCGGTTTTGGGTCGGTCTTCCGGTCGGACTGCGACATGGTGAAAACCGTGTCGGATATCGAACTTGGAAAAGACTCGAGCGGACACAATAACATCTAATAAATCGTCGATTCGCGGCAAGGGATACAAGTCTTTGGTAGTGATAGTGTTCAATTTTTGGTAGTCGATACATACCCGGACCAAACCATTTCGTTTTGGCACAAGGACCACGGGAAAAGACCACGGTTCCAGCCATGGTTCGACCCAACTTAACCGCTCGAATTCCCGTATCCTTTCCAACGCCAGTTGTCTTTCTTTAAGGCAATATCGGTACGGTCGGCAATGTATCGGGGCGTGATCCCCGGTATCAATCGGGTGTTGTATCGAAGGGGTTAGCCCTATGTCGTGGTCCTGAATACTGACGGCCTCAGGATAGGCCCGTATAACCGCCAGGAGGAGGCGTCTGTATTCATCCGGAACACGGGCTGGTAACTGAACTTCTACGGTTCCCCCAGGAAGGGAGACCGTCGTCGTAATCGTGGGGACCGCCGCGCTGGCATCGAGCGAGGCCCCAAACAAAGAGTTGTCAGTTTTTGGCGAAAGAACAGTCGCAATAAGTTGACTGTCCGCTGGACTCATCGCCTCGCTTTCCATGTCACTGTCACTGTCCGGTTCGGGTTCGGCCGAGGGTTCTACCAAAAAGGCTTGCGTCAGTTCCCTCGGTCCCCACCGATAATCCCTTGTTCGGGGTTGAAACGACACCCCCTCTTTCAAGAGTATCGCGACTTTTTCATTCGTGAGTAGGGGCTGTGGAGGTCTAAAAGATAAATTGCACAGCCCCCTATGCTCGGTAAATCTTTCAGGTAGGGGGTCCGTCCTGAGATATGAGGACGCAGGGGGTTCCGAAAGGTCAGCTATTCGGGACACCCTCAGTAGGGGTTCCCCCTGCACCACGGAGGAGAACGCGTGCGACCAATTGGACTCACTCCGAACTATCTCCAGGGGTTCTCATCGCCAGGAATGGCGCCACCGATCCTGAACCCGGATCGGATATCGGTCGGGAACGTCAGTCTCGTCAGTTCCCGACGAGATTTCATTTTCGCCTGGCGACAGGTGTCGGATCATGTTGATTTGGTGGGCTTTCGTGGTAATTCGAGGCGCCAGCTGGGTACGCATACGCACCGCCAATCTCATTGGTATCGTTTCTGGTTTGGGGTGGGCCGAGGTGAGCACCACCTTACAACTGTCAAAGTGCATTCGCGCTCCGACCGCCGCTTGCCACGGAATGCCTAGCAGAACATCATACGCCTGTACATCCAGCACGATTGCWTCGCACAAACAATGCACCCGCCCCACCCGTATAGGCACGTTCGTTATTCGCCCTTTACAATGAATACTGTCTTCCGTAGCGGATATATACAGTTCATCCGGTCGGAGGGGCTGAACCTGTCCTTCCCTTCCCAATTGTTTCGTCAATCTCCAAGAAATGGCGACCGCTGACGATCCCGAGTCTAGGATGGCGGCCGAGGGATTTCCCCAGACCTCGCAGTCACACTCAACGCTTTTCCAGGTTATAGGATAGGCTCGGAAGAAGACCTTGGGTTTTTGCGAGGCAGGATCTACGGTCTGGATCATTCCTATCCAGTTGGCTTTGTGCACCTTTGAGGTCGAGGGTTGTGACTCTTCGTTTGGGGGTAGGTCTTGTAGGACCGACTCTTTGCCCTTTCGACTTTCCTCGAAGCGGCGCCTGTTTTTGAGGCATCGTTCGATCAACTTTTCGTTAGCCGCTTCGGAAATGGTTAGCAGATAGGGAATTGTACTCGGGGCCAGGAACCGTGAGATCTTCGAATCCCGGCCGCCAAGGCCCGAGGTCGCTTTCCTCAGTAATCCTTTGGACATGACGTATCACTCCAATGGTCCCGGATTCGAACATCACCACAACCATGTACTCATCGGGCCCTATCTCGGTGGCCGCAGGGGTCACTATTTCCGTTGCTCCAGTATCCATTACCGTGGCTATCCTCCCCTGTCCTGCAGCGGTTGGAGCAGCCAGCGGGATTTGGGAAGGTCCGGTGGGCCCCGCAGGCCCACTCTGAGTTCGAGGTTTCGGACAATCTTTCGCAAGGTGGCCTGGCTGATTACAGTTATAACAGCGCAGGGGCGGGACAGCCCCGGCCACGTCCGGTCTTATCATAGGGGCCCCGGCGGCCATAGCCGCTTGTTACCGTTGTGCGGCGGCTATGCGTTGCCGCTGCAAGCCTTGAACAAACTCCGTCAACGGGGCCACTACCGTAACTAATTGGGCCGCGACCTCTTTCATGGATACTTCTTCCTCGCCCCGGCCTCCTTGAGCTTGCCCAGAGCGACGGGAGGTCGAAGCAGAGGAAGAGGCTTTCCGATCCGAGCCTTTTTTTGCCGGACCCAACCCGAAGCGGTCTTCGAACATTCGCGCCGTAGCGGAGTAGCTATTGCGTCCAACACCCGAAGGGTCGTCTTCGTCCGATTCTGAGTCCAGGCCCACATCGTAATTTTCCTTCCCGTACTTTCCATGGCGTATTGAATTAGCTTCGTCAGGGTATGTTCTATAGGGTTGCATTTCTTGCGGATCTTTTTCCGCAGGCGAGAATCTGACAATCCTCTGACGAAATCAGTCCGTACCATTTTCTTGTCCACCTCGGAGCGTTCGGCTAGGTACGTAAAACGTTCAGCATATCTAGCCAAGGTCTCCCGAGGCTGCTGCGTATATTCCTTTATTAGACGGAGGCATTGACCTGGTGCGATGTGATCAAATCTGTCGAGAAATTTCCTCTGGAAGGCTAACCAATGAGTGAAAGGGTTCTGTCCATACCACTCTAAAGCGGTTCCGGCTAACCTTCCGGGAATTGATTCTCGGAGCAACTGGTCCGACCAGCCCTGGGCTTTCAAGGCAGCTAGCCAGGTGCGAGGGTCGGTATCATCGTCGGAAAAAATGGGAACTTCGGAGGGAGGAGGTACAAGATACAGGGGATGATTGGCCATCCCCGTGTGGTTATCGTCGTCATTTCCACCCCCAATTCCGGGTTCAACCATCGCGGGAGGCGGACCTCGAGCCCGGCCTCTCGCTCGGTTCTGATTGCTATTCGCGGGCCGCCGTCGACGGGGAGCCAGCCTACTCAAAAATGCGAAAAAGATCAAAAAAAGGAAAAACTCTAATACAGGATAATCGTCCGGGGAAAACCTCGGAGCCGAAACGAATCAGCTCTGATACCAACCTCACGCCCCCTCGCGGCTTCCCGTTCGGGATCGCCGATCGGAGTTCTGGGCGGGGCGTGGCCGAGGATTTTTGGCCGTAAGGGTTGAGTCTCCCGGACGGAACGGGAGGCTCTCGTTTCGTGCCAGAGGTTTTCCCCGGAGTCGAACTGTCGTCGCGAAGTCCCATGGGGGTCGGATCACTCCGAAACGATAGAATCAGAAGGGTTTCCGCAAAAACGAATTGTCGTCGTGCATCTGGACAGGAAAAGGCATCAAGGGGAGAGGGCCATGGCGGCGGAAGACAGAAAATCCGGCCGTTAGGGTTTTGGGGATAGGTGGTGGGTTCGAAGCCTTCAAGCCTCGTCATCGGCCTCACGAAGTGACCGGACCATCGGGTTTTTGCTGTAGAGGTGGTTGGTTCGATGTCTTCAAGCCTCGGCGTCGGACTCGCAAAGTCCTCGCGGAAGTTTCCGAGAGGGTGAAACGGCGGGAGGACTCGCCGGCCTCCGAATTTGAAATTGCGCGGGTAGCGCCCCCGCATTACGGGAGAGCTCGGGGAAACGTGTTGCTCCCTCGTAACCCAGGACCAAGCGTCGCCAAGAACACGAGTCCCCCTGGCGACACCAGTGACAATCAAACCGCGGCCGCCACGCGGCGTGAGCGGCCGACCAGGGCAACACAATTAATCCCGTATAGGGCAATATTAGTGTCGCGGAATCAAAACGATCAATCAAGACAAACCCGTTCCCCCTTATATCACAAGCCCGAGGTGGGTCTTGCCAACACACTTGCTCCATCCACCTCAGCGCGCGCTGTACGTCCGCATCGCAGTAGACGCTCTCGTCATCTGTGATGGGGAAGGTCGGTAGCGAGATGAGACGATCGGAGGTACGCGATGAACACGGGCAAGATCCCGCGCTCCCGGTCATCCGAACCAACACCGACTCCATACAACACTCGACGCAGCCTTCTCTCTCGAGGTTAGTGCGTCGGGAAAAAATGGCGAAATCTAAGCTCTCTTCCCCTTGCGGGGGCGTCGACCGCGCGCGCGGACGCCGGCGGTTGACGTCACCAGTGCGAGGACGAGAAGATCAAAGCGGTGACTACCAGTTCACAAAAAGAAAAAGACGAGAAGGAGAGAAAAAGTAAGTTACATCGAGACTGCGCGTGCACGCAGGAAGGGCCGCGGAAGGGAGGGGAACGACGGAATTAACACACTCATACTCCTAAGCAGACGGTTCCCCACTTCTGTTCCTCCCTCCCCGACCGGATAGGTACATACACACATACATGCATGCAATCGACAACTCTTGACAGGACATCCAATCATCCATAGACCTTTGACATCACTCATGCGCACTACAAGCTTCCCCTTACCCGAGGCCTCACACACGCAGCATGCATAGACAAAGCAACAATGGAGATAAAAACGAGTCCTTCTTGTACACAAAAATTCTCTATTGACTGCCGCCCCCGGGCGCAGCCTTCAAAACTTCCCAAGACCACCGGCCACCATAGCCACAAGGCCCTGCCGCGGCCGGCGTCCAATCCCCACCACTGCTCAGTCCCCCGACTGCTTCGCCCCAAGACTACCGCGGGCCACCCCGCGTTGTCACTCCGCCCGTCCTTGGGCTCGTCGAGCCTGTTCGGCGCCGCGGACTTCGCGCATAGCTCGCGCAGCGTTGCAGCCGAGATCAAAGAGAAAGAGAGGAGAGGGTTGCGCGAATTTATAGCGCGGGAGGCGGCG